ATGTCTGCTTTTGAAAGAGTCTTTTCCAACTCCATCCTTTCCCAATGTGCATGCTTGTTGCTACTCTATTTCCCTTTTCCTCTTCCTGTATGTTACTGTGTGGAATTAGCAGTGGATGCTGAACACCATGCAGATGCAGCTCAATGATTTGCCAGGGAATCCTCTCTACAGGTGTTTGAATACCCCAAGTGCAACTTTTAGATTTAATTTAGTCTCATTATACCACTAAAACAGAGTTCTGCACTTTTATTATTCTCTGTCCTGGGATATTTTATGCTTCCTTTTGCTATTCCAAAAAGATATGGATGCAGATGCACAAAACATAACATTTTGTGACATTATTTTTGGCTGGCTCGTAATTAACAATTACTGCGCAAGTTAAATTATCATTCCACCTCCCTTGACTAACACTTCATAGTGACTGCTCAGTGCAACAACTTTTCTTTTTTTATACAAGATATTGTAGTCTTCTGAGTAACTTGGAAAATTACATTATTGAAATGCTACTGCTGCTACTGAGGACTCCTCAGCTCCTCATATAACTTACTGTTGCCAAGTTGATAAATATGAAATACCACCTGTTGATAACCTGAAAGGAACATTATTTTCCTCAAGTGGAGCAAGCTCTGCAGTTGAGATGCATTGGAGGGACCTTTACAACAACCGCCACCCATTAGCTTGCTAATCAGCAACAAAGTGAAGAGTCCCAAAACTCATAAGAACTTGAAGGAAGTCACTTGCATGTTACCAGTAGGGCTGGCATACATTTGCTGTTAACATTATGATCCTTCTGTGGTTGTTTTTTTTTTTTTTTCTCTCCACGGAATAGATGATGTTTGAGAGAGGTATTTTCCATCCTGACTCGATGCTTTAAATTCACATGCAGAAGAAAGAATAGTAAGTGATAATGGTGGATCACATGAATGAAAAGTGGAGTCAGAGGGGAAAGGGTGTAACAATTAGAGATTTCCCCTGCCATCCCAGAACCCCAGCCCCATCCTCTTCTACCTCCCTTTCACCTCCCTGCCTATCCCCCAACTATTTTTTCAAATTGCTGTCAGAGTAATTAACTCCCTTTCACTCAGTTTTCCCATTAGTGACCTAGACTCCCTAACCCTCCCAGGTGACCTGATCACTCTGTCTCCAAAAATGTAGTTAACACACATGAAAATACTTCATGACTATCTGTCATACACAGTTTAGCAGTGCCATTCTTCTCCATAGGTCCTTGTTTGCTGTATGCGTTCTCAATTGGTAGCCTCCTAAGGTCTGCCAAGGCAGCGTGTGCATGCGAGTTGGCCAAACACTAGGTCACACCACTCAGGGGTTTAGAGATGAAGTTTTCATATTCTCAGATTGAAATCTCAAATTTCTTACCTATCAACTGAGGTAAGATATCAACTGACACATACAATTTGTGTATATTGTTTTTGTCTCTTACATTAAATGAATATCTTTGTGTTGGCTTAGGTGCATTTACCTCCACATTTCCTCATCATGAATGCAGTGTAGGTGCAGGCAAAGCTATACAGGAGGCAACATGCTACTTCTTACTGACTGCTCTTTAAAGCTCCATCCTGGAAAGGGCTGAGTGCTCTCAAGTCTCCATCTAGTCAAAGAGAAGCAAAGTCACTTAACACATTAGAGTCCAGCTAATACCTTACAAACTCTATCTACTATAAAATTACCGAGTGAAATCTGTCATTTTTCATCTGTTTAGCCAAAATGAGAAAATATCGCTAGGATATGATTGAAACTCAAGAGCTGCTAGAGAGGAGTTTGGGTCTCATCCTGCCTGGTACTGAGTTCACAACCTGGCTCTTGTGGTGTGAAAACTGGCTATTCCCAGCAGTTTTTACATTTATTCTCTCAGTTCTAGCAGAAAATCAGACTTTTCCATTCCATCCATCTGCCCCCCCCACACACACTTTTATTGTTGTCATAAACACAGCCATGGTGTGCAGTCATCAGATGCTGAGACTTAGGACAGACAGGCTGGATTTTTCATTATACTGACACCAAACAAGTGTCACACTGCTCCAGCATTTCAAATAAGAGGTCAGTAGAAACTCAGAGGACTGTACATTTCTTTCTTATTTTGCTCCTTTTTTTCTAGCCAATCCTACTGCAAGACCAGGGTCACTCATGACAAACCCCAAAGCCTGTCACAGGGGGACCTTGCACTTGCTGGGACCTTCCAAATCCTGCAGAGTTACTTTTCAGCATATAGGACTCCCATTTCATGCAAAACTCTCTCCTGGGACCAAACAACTGCAGATGAGGCAGCAGATTCTGCTCTGCTGGGAAGAGAGAGGCATGTGATGGGGAAGAGAAGGAAAATGCTGTTTTCCTCTAACCCTTCTCCCCACAGTGGTGGTGCTGTGGGGAGAACACCCATACATCGGGACACCCGTTCATCCCTGGACAGAGAAGGGGTGAGAATGAAAACTAAGGCTCAGCAAGACCAAGGCAGACCACACTGACAGCCCCCAAAAGGAACATGTATCAACATACAGATGTGTCTACAGTATATACATCTTTAAAATCACAATCCTACCATGGTATTGTAACAGGCTTTGCTACCAACTTGTGTACAGACTCAGTACAGACTCGGTATGTTTAAAGGTAAAGATCTGTAGGACTTACTACTCGTGTACTTTACCTAGCTCTTCACAAGATTTAACCAGACCTCCCAACCTTTGCTTTCCCAGTTCCTGCTATCTCATTGAAACAGAGAAAATAAAGATGAAATACACATAAATTACAAAATCTAATAACTTGTTCTTTAAAAGAACCATATTACTCAGTTGACCTCTACCTGTACTCATTAGAGTCAATAACCGTAATAACTGATTCCCCAACTGTGGTTCAAACAGCTACTATTACATTTAAACGATGTTTTACATTAATATCAAATGCGTTTCTTGGAGTTACTTAATGTCTCCCATTAGTTGTGGAGAGATTCTGGATTTCTTGCATTCCACATAAATAAATCTACTTAATTTACTGAAAGTATATCTGGCTTTTCATTCAGTATGAAGCACTCAGATCTGACCTCACATGACATTAAAGGCCACATCTCTCAGCATCATTAAAATAAGGATTTTATATTTGCTCAAGAATATGAAGAAAAATGCTTCACATGCAATGCTGTCTTCACTATGGATTTTAGGATGACTGGTTTTTATTTTTATGTTTTAAGAATGGCAACATGGAAAATGAAAAAAATAACAAGTTCCTCTACCTGTTTTAAAACCCAAATACAAGAATTGTGACTTTTTCTTTCCCTCCCCTCATTCTTTGCACCTAAAATACTTTTTAGTAAAACCAGTAACAGACTGAAGGGTGTGCAGCTGATCTATGAAACTCAGAAGGGGTAAAAAAAAAAAAAAATAGGATTCTAAAACTTTGCTAGTAAGTTACCCTGAGTCAATTTTCCCATCTATGCTCTTGTCTGTTCTCATTTCCCACAGGTAGTTACAGCATTGGCAATTTGAAGTATTGCATAAATAACTTGCTGGTATTCAGCATGTTGCTTTATTTCCTCTCCTATAATTGAGTTGTGTTGGTTTGACATTTTGATTCAGCATTGTAGAAAGAGCAGACTCAATTTACTGAAATTTCTGTGGTTGATGCATTTAGGGAAAAATAATGATTCCATTTTGCAGTGCATTCATTAAGGGAAAGGTACTTACCTGTTTGTTTGCAGAACCAGGTAGTCATCAGGAACAAGAGGAGCACATCACCCTCCTCCCTAGGCTAAGCAACAACTTTGGGCAGGGTGGTCCTGACCTAAGGCCTGATTTCCATTTTTTTTTTCTCCCTGTTTTCCCTGAACGGAGTCCAGTCCTATGTCTATTTGAAAATTATTTGCAGAGCCATTTTGGTACTCTTTTGGTCCTCACCTGAATATATAAATGGTTTCCATCTGTTACACACTGCCCAAAAGCAGAGGCAGAAATAATGGCAAAGGACCATGTAATTGCAAGGTGTTATCTGTGGAATCCAGATTATCATATGAAATATGAGAACTGACAACATATTGCTCATCTGTTGCATAGCATTCTCATCCTCTGTTTTCAACGCAATACAATATTAACAGCTCTTTAACCACCTATTTAATGCCTGTTAACATTTGAAGTTTACTTATATTTTCTACTTATGTTTTTCCCTAATATTTTAAACTTTAAAAAAAACTAGCACATCTTCCACGTACACCTACTATGACTCCATTCCTCTAACCTTAGAGCTATAATCACTTCTGAATTTATTTGACAAAATATTAAATTCCTTACCTGCAATTGAGAGAGATAAGATTTCTTTGAGCTTCAGGCTTATAGATGGAAACTTAAAAGCTTCTCATTTCTATCCTAAGAAGAAGCTGAATCTTTACGCTTTTCCTGCCTCATGTGCTCCATAACCTCAAAGGATTGAATCATCTCAGGAATCTTGAGCATTTGCCATGTTAGGAAAACAATTAAAACTGACATTACTTTCATTCAATAAACCTGTGACCTTTTGTTTTTAGTCCCATAATTTAGAAGTTGCAAAGGCCAAAGAACCTAACTAAGGTGATGAATTATGAAAGTTGTTACAAACTTGACTGATACTGTAGAACCAGTATGTATTTTCTACCTAGACCAGTATTAGAAGTGAAGAGCAAGTTAGTAATACTGAAATATCTAGAGAATGACAGGGATGACAAAGGTAGACCATTTTAGAGTGAGCTATTTCTACCACTGTGACTTCAAAGAAAGATGCAGCCAGTCCCAGAATTACCAGTAGCACCAAGCCTGCCCAGTCCCAAGGAGATCTATCAGAGGTTGCTGCTTGTGCTGCTCTGCTGATATTGGGTAGGTACACAGGAAGATAATGCAGACTTTCTATACACAACAGTCACTGAGGCCTATTGCATATTAAGTCATTCTCCCATTTTTATTTCGGCCTTATGATTAACAAAATTCTTCCATGTTTAGGGGAAAAAAACTGCTCACAGCAACTCTTGCAAGTTCTTTTTATTAACATTGGTATACGTAATGGTAACAGAATAGCCTCGAGTTTGCTTTACTGCAGTCATTTAAACAAGCTTAAAATGCTCCTTGAAATGCTCCCAGGGCAAAAAACAGGGCTATGCCTAACAAGTACATTAAGCCTTATGTCTGTAAAGCACAGGGAGACACCTTTGTTGTGATTGCACGTTTGAAAGCAATTATGGACAACACACTGAATCACCTAATGAAACCAGTGTGGGAGGTACTTCTTAGTGGTATTTAGAGACCCTTAATTACAAGCTAGCTAGCTAATAGATTGATTTTCCTAAGAGAAAAACAGAAAAAAAAAAAAAAAAAAAAAACAGGCATTAGAAGTAAGCAAAACACTAGCTTTTTTTTGTTTGTTTTTTGCCTTCTGGTTTTACAATTTGTTACTTTGGTATCTTAAAACACTTAAAATGAATAAGAAGCTCAGTATCCAAGGGATGATCTTATGAGAAATCAAAGATTCAGAAATTGCCCTGGAGACAAAAAGATAAATATTTTGATCTGCAACACAAAATATCTTATCACTTCACAATTTAAGAACTACAAGACTGCTAGTTCACTAACTAGTTTGAGTTTGTATGAAGTTTAAAAAACTTGAATCCTCTTTATTCTAAAAATCATTTACTGGTGGTTTAAAATGAAGAATACATTTCTCATGTCTATGTGAATCTCAAGGCTGAATCCTCAAAGGAAACCAGATGGCAAAATTAAAATAAACTGGCAAAAATCATTTTTCCTTCTGCTCTTTGACTGGCACTTTTTGACTAACTTCATTTGGTAGGGAAATTTTCCCATCAAAATAATTCTAAGATCCATGATAACTTTGAGGAAATAAAGTTGGGGAAAAATGATAAATTAAGAAAAATGCAACACAAGCAAAAGCCTGATTTTATTGAGGTACTGCACTCACATTTTTGTGTACCAAGCCATCACATTTGGTTAAGTAGATCATATTAATGATGTGAGGACACCACATTAAAATGGCACACAGGAACAGCTTGAAACAAAGCTTGGTCAACATGGTATACCAAATTATGCTCTGCCTAATAACTGTTATCACATTGGAATTGCACAGGATAAGACAACATAATTCACATAATTGCACACAGCAGCCATAGCTGGTATGTGCAAATCAAAATATACACTTCCCAGTACAGTAGCCATATAAAAATACATATCCAAGCGCAGCTTCAGGTTGGCCTCTGGTTATCAGTTGTGGTTGTAGGAACCAGGAAACAACTCTGAAAGAGTTGGTTAGGTTTTGTGGGTCTTGGTCCACCCTTGAGGCTTAGAAAATCTTTCGAATCCAGTTTGTTCTGCCAACAGCTTACTTCGGTGGGGACCTCATGAAAAATGCAGTTCTGTACCTGCAAAATAACAAGCACAGTTGAGAATCAGATTGCACAGGGGAAGATTTTCCTCTGCTACACAGCACAGCTAAGGAGATCCTACAAACAAATCCAGAACAAACCAAACAGCACAATGCATTTCACTGGGATTACTTATTCCAAGCATCTCACCATGTTCCTAACCTTTATCATGTGAAATATTATACCTCTAAAGGGCATCACTGCAGCTATGAACACTAAGTGCCTCCTCTAGGAACATAACTGGATAGGTAGATCTGCTGTTGCTCCTCTACTTTGTAATTGGTGATTTCATCCTGGATGTGATAAAAAGTTCATAGAATCATAGAATCATAGAATATCCTGAGTTGGAAGGGACCCTTAAGGATCATCAAGTCCAACTCTTGACACCGCACAGGTCTACCCAAGTTCAGACCATGTGACTAAGTGCACAGTCCAATCTCTTCTTAAATTCAGTCAGGTTCGGTGCAGTGACCACTTCCCTGGGGAGCCTGTTCCAGTGAACAAGTTAAAACACAATGGTGCTAGAGCAAGAAAAAAGAGGCCTAACAGACAAGGCAGTCTCATCTAACATTTCTATGCAGTACCTCTTGGAAAATTATCTACTATTTACATTAAACTAATTTTTTTAAGGTAGACATAATATCTATCTCTAAACCTGAAGGATAACAAAAAATATTCAGAACTACGTATACAGAATTTCTGCACAAAGAAATGATTCTACTGCTCATTAAAAAGGGATTGCTTCTGAAGTGAAGCACAACAGCTGTTGGCACAGCTGGGTTTAGAAGCGGATGTTTGTCTGGGTAGGCAAAAATAATAGGTATGCACTAAAGTCTGGCCAGAAATCTCAGCTAATTCAGCTACTGACAGAAGTTCTGAAGTGTGAAATCCTCGTTTTCAAGGCAGATGGCTACTAGCAGCAAAGAGCATCCTAACTGGCAAGAACATCAGTTCGATACTGGTTTGCTGGGAAGAGTGCTGCTTATCTGAGTGATACTTTTTTGTAGATCCTAGATTTTCTTTTGCTTCAGGCTCCAGGGCTGATTACACATTCTGACTTGCATCAAAATGCACATGACAGATGTAGGCTTAGATTTGAACCCTCCCCCTGGCATTGCCATCTCTAAATACAGCATTTCCAATTAAATATCAGATCAGAAGGGACCTCAGATATTCCTATTATAGCCATCACTTTCTCCAGACTAGCAAGAAGACTCACAGGTACTCTGACAGCACACAAGTCTGTTTCTGCTCAGAGCAGGTGGACAGACATTTCCTTCCCAGACCTGGATGCAGTCTAGCAAGAACCAAGGTCTACTGGTGTCACCTAAGAGATGCCTGGGGCTAAGACAGCCTCCCACACATCAAGGCTGTGAAGATGCTTCACCCATTTCACCTTTGACAAGTGTGAGTCTAACCTGCTCGTCAAGATCCCTTTTGAAGAAAGTCCCGTCTGCTGCTTCATTGCCTGGTCTAGTATTTCTGGTACCTTTGTAGTTTGGAAGATTTTCTGTTACTAAATCTGGATCTGCTTCAATGTAGAATCCAGCTCATTACTTACCTTGCCTGCCACAGACAAAAAAATCAGTCCTCTGCTTTACTTATCAGAACAGTCATCTTTTCTAAGCCAGCTTAAGCTTGATCTGCCTTTCTAAAACCTTTATCATTTTCTCATTTTGTCTCTTCTGTGGTTTATTAACACCTGAAGAGCACTGCTCTATCACAGGTACTGCCAGCATTAACTGGAATAAATACCACCTTACATCCTGAATACAGCTTCCTTCCTTGGTATGACGGACAAAAGATGGGCACAGAACATCAATACTGTTTATTACAAACTATAAATTCAAGATAATTTTTCTCCCACATTACTTAACCAGTCATTCTCCCTCAGGTAAAAAAGAAAAATCAAATCCTGAAATAAGTACAGTACTTGGCTTTCATCTTTACTGCATTTCACCTTTTTGATTTCAGAGCTTTTCTTCAGGGCACCAGGATAATTCTGAAAGGTAGTTTTATCCCCCCAGAGTCTTGCAGCCTCTCCCAGGGTGGCATCATCCATAAATTTTATACAAATGCTCTTTATTCCTGGAGCCAAGCTGTTAATATTCAACTGGAATAGTATTGAGACACCCTTCCCTCCAAAAATGTTTGCAAATGAGCCACTGAAAACTTTGGGCTAAATTTTCCATATATACTTGTAGTCAGAGCTACTTGTTCCCACTTAACTGACAGACAAAATTACCTTGACAAAGAGGTAAGCTGGCTTATCATGATTTGTCTTCATGTCAGATGTTTCTCATGTGTAACTTAATAATTTGATCTGTTAACACTACAGGCTTGAATTAACACCTCCAGCTCCTCCCCTTTCCCTTATTAAAGCAAAGGCTTGTTTGTCCCTTTGATGAGAAAGAACATGCAGACAAGCTTGACCTGTGTGGCGAGCTACATACATAGCCATGGTATAGGGTCCTGTCACCAATTTAAAATCTTGACTTGGACAGAAGAATGGATGTTAAATTTAAGTGCCATGTGGTGCTTTCTCACAGCAGTTGAAGGTTTGCAGCTACTGGTGGATGCAGACTGCACAGTGAAGTGGCTCCTCATAATAAGTGAGGGCATGGAATCTGCAACAAGTGTACATCAAAAGCAGAAGACAAAAGCAAATAGAGACCTGGATTTTTCCACCAAAAGTTCACCTGATTATCAGTTAAAGCTCAGAAAATATCCTTGCCTCCCTTTTCATTTTCACAGAAAGTTCCCAGCTGATGTATTCTAGATCTGGAAGCAAAACAAAAAGCTGAGTGCATGTTTTTCCTTGTTTTAGCACAAAGAGGTCTCATGATAAAGCCAGCCTCATTTTGCCAACAAAGAAGAATTGGATAATTCATGCACAAAAAAGCTGCTAAGGTTTTTGGTCTTGATATAATGCATGCACTCAAACCATACAATGAAGTCCTTTGCAGCTGGCCTTTCAATTCTTGCCTGTTGCTCTGTTTCTGTAAGCAATAGTGTTTAGCAGGCTACATTTTACAGCACTTCCATAAACATCAGTCTCTGTAGCATGGAAGAAAGCAGGCAAACTGAGGCACAATGAAACGAGAGGCTCCTGGCCTTACAGAAAACAATGCTCCATTCACAGACCTGAACTGTGGTCTCATCTAAGTACTTAATGCCTGCCTCAGATATTTTTGAGTTTTCCTACTACGGAGGGCTGCAGGAGCGTTTTAAGTCTTCCTATGGCATTTTTCTCCCACAACGCATTTCCTTTGCCACAGCAGAAGGAATGTGTAGAGGGGATTAGAAGTTTCAAAATGAGTTTTGTTACCGTTAAAAAGCAAGGTAGCAAAAATAGCAGGACAAGCAATCCAAACCAACTTGTTCTGCTGATAAGAGTGCTGAGAAGGATGTCTTTGCACTTCTGATGCACGGGGTGGCTCTTTTTTTGAAGGATACAGGAGAAAATACACAAAGCAGGAAACTGACACATTTACTTTCCTACTGATCCAAGAACAACTGCTGAGCAAACAGGACCAATTTATTTCTGTGACAGACAATACTGATCTATGGCATGGATCCTCACATTCTGTGATGTTTAGCCATAAGCTTTCACCCCCCTGCAGAAAGGGAAATAACGTTTCATGCCAGCTGAAGTCTTCTGCATTATTCATTAATTCCTCTCAAGTCTGAAGTACAATTCTTCTGTATTGGAGTACATTTTAAACGCTATTTTGCATGGTCTGTGCCATAGGCAGTTTGACCTTTAAACATGATTTCAGCATAAAAATCAAGTTAGCATATGAAGACTAATTTTTTGCATGATAACCCTGTTCATTTCTCTATCAGACTTGACTCAGCACTCACAGGCAGCATCACCAAAACATATGACTAAACTACCAGCCAGATACTTCACTGCTCTCACCCTTTGCCATACAGGAGCCTTTCTACCAGTTCATTATAGAAGAATTTCTTTTGAATAACTTACAATGGCTGCATCCTCAGTAAGGTCTAGTGCAGCTCAGACTGCACCAGGGAAAGGACAAAGACACCATTGGGGAAATGTAATGTTCTCTAGCCCACTACCATGAAGTACTCATGTACAAGTAATTCAAGATTTCTGCGTTCACGACAATGTAGTCATCTCTTGCATATCTTCACAAAGGGGTATGGGTGTATGTCATGTAGAGACTGTTATAAGGTCCACAAGCATGACTCAAGGTCCCCCAGCCTTTTCTGTTAGTGCTTTTTGCAAAACTAAAAACCCATATAAAGAATCATAACACTTTGAAGAACACTTTTCCTATCTGCATCACTACGTACTGAACAGAGCAAAGAATATAAAAATACAATAGAGAATGGTGGAAAAGTGTTGTTACCATACCTGCTTCCATACAGCACTGGTAGAATCCATCCAGTACTTGTATTTTTTAACATATAGAACTCCCTCTAGCCTCACTGTCTGAAAAACAAAAGCATTTAGTAAATCAAATAGGATTATTATTCAAATAGTTACAAGTAGTAATACATAGAAGCACCCATTGTGCTAGAAAAATACATTGAACACCATTGCTCAAAGCTAAACAGGCAAATTCCAGCTGATAAGCCTTTTGCAGAATCTGAAAATTTAATAGAAGTTGCACATCCATCTTTTTATATTTACTACCAAACTTTAAATTACTTATGTAAAAATTCAACAGTTCTACTTCCTATTTTTAGGAAGTCTTTGATGAGCCACGCAATAACCAACTTTTTGACTACTACATGAAGGAAGAAAGGCATACAATAATCAATTGTATGTTTAATGAAATAGAGAACTCCGTCTGAGATGATATATTTTGACTGAAAATGCTTATAAGTACTGCTTTCATAAATGAGCATGCACTGAATGCTACAGGGGTACTGACACTGATCACTGACCATCTGATGTGTGACAGGCTTCATCCGAAGGCAAGACTATAGTTCAGGAAACGCAGTGCTAAACTGAATTCACAGGTAAAACCCATCATCCTAAGGCCTAAAAGCTTCTGAAGCTCCTAAAAATTGTTTTCATTTTTACTGCCTATAGAAAGAGCAGAAGAGAGGTTGCTTTTATTATTCCTTAGGCCTGAAAGCAGCTAACCAGCCAACTCATAAGAGGCTCTGATCTTGCATAACTTCCACACAGAAGAAACCCAGGTATGATGAAGATAAGCACTCAGGCTTGTCAATGAAATCCTTCAGCTTTTTCAAAGATCTCTCAACCTTGGCAAAGCAACGGGCTTTCAATTTCTGGCAGTCTACCTCATCAACAGCTAAAGCTATCAGAACTTCAGTGTGAAATAATTGCCATTCAGAGCAGTCAAAGCAGCAGAATAATAAAAATGAAAACAGGACAAGCAAAAAGTCAAACCAGTGCTTAAACACGAAGCAATGCTGTCTGAATAAAGCTCAAAACAACATGGGAGATGGTTAAGAAAACACAGAGATCTCTCAACATCGTGAATCCTAATACCTGGAACTGAGAAAGAGAATACCTATGTGAACCCTGCAGTCTGGCACAAAGATACAAAGCATGAGAAACACTGCTGTCCTGGCAATAGAATAAAGAGCTAATAACACAGCAGAAAAACCTGATGGAAAAAGTTAAACAGCAAAACATTCAAAAGCATAATGCCAGTTTATAAGAGTTCACTGGGTATTTTGTTCATCCTACTCAAGCGTTTATTTAGGCTTCTCTCGGTAGCAGGTCCTATTTCCACTGTCTCTCTCCAGGACAGGTGTCAAGTTTTCAATTTGCAGATTAGTAGCAGTTTGCTGAATGTGTGACTTTTGCTTTTACAGCTTGCTCAGCTTAGGTAGTTCCAAAGGAGGCTTTCCATTTCCTGAGAGCCCTATAAACTGCATTCTCTAGAGAAAAAAACAAGATGTAGGAAGTTTGGTATGAAGTAAACTGAGTTAGACACTCATCTGGATGCTTATTACTGTCTGATAGGCTATAATTACAATAACTCATTGGTCATCTATTGGCATTCAAGTATGGAAGCACTTTAAAAGCTAGTAAAAAAAATTGTTGAATTTGAGGTGATGGGGAAAAAGCAAGAGATTTCTTTCCACAAATTATTTCCCTTTTTCAACTTGTTCTACTTATAAGGCCTAAGTAAATAAAATCCAACAAGAGAACAAACATTCACTTTATTTCCAAAAACTTTACTGGTTGAACTAAAGCCAAATTTACACATTTAGAAAGCTCTCAAAAAAAGCTGAAACTTATCACACCACATCCTGCCATCAGAACTTGCAACTCGATTTCACATATGTAGGTTTCTCACATACATGTGAAAATAAATCTTATGTAAGCCTAGCCGTGCCTGCTTCCACTCCAGCTCTGCGATCGAACACCTGTACTCTTAGAGCAGAAACTTCTTTCTGCCACTGATCTGATAAAATGTATATATGATACTAAGGCAATGTCAGCTTATGCCAATGCTTCCTTGGTTCTCTCAGATTTGTATTCAACTGAGAACACTGATTTCTAACTAATACCCAACAAGGTGACCTTTATAGTCAGTGGATAATGTATTGTACTGGCCAACCTGCATAAGTGTTCTAATTCTTTTAATTAATTAAAAAATAATTGTTAATACAACCAACCATCAAGAATGTCATCTTTGGAAAGAATTGTGAAACCCAAAGCTTTTAGTTACCATTACAATCTAAGCCACAAATACTGGGCTGAGGTAGCCACAGTTTCTCCTATGCCAGTAGGTGACACGCATTGTTCCTGTAGGTGTCTGCTCATCCACAGTCCATGCACAAAGTTAAGGCATGAAAAAGAATAATTCCTTGTCATGGAGGAGTCACACTTAGAACTTTTTCGATTCTTATCCCTAGAATTAAATCATTACCACATGTTTGTGCACTTGGACAGGAAATCCAGAACAACTCATTTGGCCTCTTGCTGACGATGGGATTTATTTGTTGCATCCTTAATAAGGATTGCAGAATTTTACTCTTCCTACTAATTAAATATATTGAGCTTGTGCTAAATATTTTCATTTGAGTTCATTACAGATTTCATTTAGAAGGTAATCTAGCAAAACAGACTACAACCTAGGGCCACCATCAGGAAGAAAATGTACGGTTAGATTCTCCACACGTGTTTTCAACAGTGTTATCTCCTCCAGAGGAAGAGCTTTATTCTGTCAATATCCAGCCTTACCTGCCATCTGTAAGTGTAAGCCAGTATCCAGCTTGCTGCGAGGCTTTGTGCTGATAAACAAGTAACAGAGAACACACACAGTGATGATAAAAGCAAACAGGACCACTGCTGCTATTGACAGGCCCACGAGCGCTCCAACACTAAGAGAGAAAATAAAGAAATTAGGTGTACAAACATGCTGGGATAGCCATTGAAGTAGTGGTCAGGATTATGCCCAGAGTTTACATGTACACAGGTAAGGGAATGACTGTACATAGAAATTTAGAGCTCAAAACTTAGTTTGCATAAACTGCATTATTTTGTTGCCCTCAGAAGGGCTGACGACATTACACAGCAGTTGAACCTTTATGATACTTCATGTAACCTATGCACAGTAGCCCTCAGCTTGATTTCAACTATGTCTATGAAAATCAGAAAGAACTTAATGCAGTAACTGGTGCCAGTGAATCAAACTACTCCAAAACAGTGCATATTCCCAGATAAACCAAATCCAGGAATACAGGCACTGTGCTTCACAATTAAAAGTACAGTCTGAAGGACACACAGACTTCACACAATATTACTATCTGTGCAAAAACTGGAAAAATTAACAGTGGTCTTCCCAAATAGACAAAAAAAAAAAAAAAACAAAGTATTTTGACAAGAAAATTAATGCAAGCTACTGAAAAAAATGGTCTTTAGTTTGTGGTTTTTTTTCCTTTTTTTTTTTTTTTTTGCTTTAACTTCCCCCAATTTTTGCAATTCCTTAACAGAATTTTGACTAACTTTGAGAGTTGCTAAATATCACAAGGAAAGAAAAAGGGGAATTCCAGAGCTCCAGGCAGTTGATGCAAGCTCCTTTTTCTCAAACATGACTATTAAAGCTGCATTTTCAACCTGAAATACCACATTTATTGCAAAAAAAACTTACCATAGGACTTTAAGCAAAGTACTTGTTTGTAACAGGTTTTCCTCCAAAGCTGACATGTCCATAAAAAAATGGGATAAATGTGAAAGCCACATTATTCAGTTGTACTAGCAGCTCTGTAGATCTAGGTAGAGTACTGTGATCATGGTTGTGGCTCTTTGTTAATACAAGAGACTTCTTAGGAAATTAAACAGTGGTGTTTTGATCATGGTTTGAGACTTGGGAATCCTTATATTACTATTCCAGTGTATTTACGATTTTAACATAGAAAAAGGATAGAGATGAATGTCTTAAGTTCTATGATACGAATTCTAGTGATAAAAATCCCCTAACGCTGCGCCACTATCAGAAGTCACTTCTACTGAGGCCTTGCAGGGAGATGGTAAGAATTATGTCTCAGGATGTTTTCAAGAACTTCACATTCAAGCTGCTGCAAAGCTTTTCTATGAGCTCCCATGACACAGATACATCCATAAGAGAAACTCTTAAGTCCAGCAGGTATTAGTATGACTTTTACACCAAGTTCTCATTTGTTATGCCAAATCCATTAACAAAGTTTGTAATACATTTAGCTCTACACACAAGTAAATTGGTATCAGTGAAACAATTGATTCTGGAAAGAATTATTTTGCCTTTACGAAGATTGCTTATGGTATTCAGCTACACAAGTTAGTTTCATACGAACACATTAAGTATATTTTTTGGCTCAAACAGAGCATAGAGGCTAGCAACGTTCTGATTAATATGGCATTTGATGATGTTCTTACAATCAGGGATCTCACATGGATTCTGGCCTCATTTTTTCATTTGAAACATCTTGACTCCAAGGACAAAACAGAAGCAATGCACTACACTGGGCTGAGGCGAGCAGCCAACCAAGAATGATCTCCAAAGCTGATTGATTCCATGAGAGGAAGTAACACATACCCGGAGGCTCTTCAGAAATAGGTATTTGTGCTTTTTTCTTCTGTTAGAATTAGCCCTATTTTAAGATTTCTTTCAAATAACAGTCTGCAGTGCAGGACAAAAGAAGTTGCTTATCTCCTATCCAAATGTTAAGCAGAGTCAGCTGTTCTAAAGCTAACTAAATAAGGTACATATTACTTTTTTTTTTCCTCTATTCAGGCATCCATTACTTCAGTTGTAGCTCTCCTCTATGCAGAGGCAGATGACAATGTTAAGCAGTACAGCTGAGCATTGTGCAGCACAATGCCTTGGCATTATTACTGTGCAAGATGCCTTGCGAGCTACAAACAGCAAAGGTAAGAAAAAAACAGTTCTGGGGGGAAACTCTCCAATATTTCCTATCACAAGTCAGAGATTTATGATAGGTTACACATCACTAGAAAAATGTTTGTTATGCAGCAGCAACGTGAAGAGATCTTACCCAAAACATGGAAATTGGCACCACAAAATCAAATACAGACATCCTAGATATCACTTCCTAAAGCAATCAGCAATTAAGAATCGGGTTGTACTTAGTTGTCAAACATAGTATGTCAATATCAGATTGTTCTCGATGTGCTGAAGCAATCAGACCTCTTAGAGTGTACTATGAATTTCTAAAAGGTTGATTTGAGGTTAAGGTTTGGGAGTGAGATTGTTTTTTAATTTATTAATTCAGGGGAATTTAAAATGCCTTCTACATTTCTGAACACTGAAGCATTCTAAGACAGAGGTACATTTCTTTCTATAGTTAAGATAGTTATCAAACAAAACACCTAAATAGCCATCATTTTAATGATCACCCTTCCCTGAAAATAAAGACAACCCTGCAGCAGGTCCCCTGCCTTCTCCAGCAATTACTCCACCTAGTAGTAATGTAAAGCTCTTGTTAAAAACATTTTGCCATGTTCACTTCAAACAGTAGGTGTTTAAAGTCTACACAGCAGTCCCCAGAACAGCCCACAGGTCTCAGGATGAGTCTTCAAGATCAGGCTTCTGGCAACACAGCCATTAAACAAGAAAACTTAAAAGTTGCTTTTGTCCACAGCTGTGGCCTCACTAACATTAACAATTCCCCACCCACTCTCAGATCTAGCATAAAAAAGCAGCTGTGAAGGCCTAGCAGTAATCCTGGTGCCATTTACACAACATGAGCAACTCTAAGTTTGACAGAAGATCCACAAACCAAACAAAGCTCTCCCATGTTTTTTTCCCCCTACATACAACAAGAACACAGCCATGCACCACAAGCATCGCTGGTGTTCCTGGTGCTGTTAACACTGAGAGCCATGTGTGGCACTGCCACAGCTGCACTGCCAGAGGCTTTATTGAGCAGAGAGGTTTCACCATCTGCAGGCTCCCCAGGGCTTCTTCCTCTGTGCTGTCTGGAGAGCTCCTTTGTGGGTCAACATTTCTTGCAGCAGAGGCTCAGCAGCCACCTGCAGCTATTTTTAGTCCTTAGAACTACTCCGTCCACACCAACAACAGCTAGGAACAATTTAAATATTGGGTAAACAGATGCGGCACATCCACCGAAAGATTAAAAGGAAGCTCATGAGTCATCTGGATCTGAGTGAAACAAATGTTCCCAATACCATTGCTGCGGTGATGTACCGTATGTAGTACTTGGGAAGCAACTGATAAATATTAACAGAAGATTGGAAGAATGGACAGACAGGAGTAAAAGTCTTGCTATTTTGGAAAGCCAAAACACTCACAAAGATCTGTGCAGCTGAGCAAAGTCTGGCTAGAGCATTAGGTCACTGTGGTTCTACAGGTGTTAATAAAGTATCCTGACTGAGAGCTATACTTGGCATGCCTCAGTTTTAATCAAATATTATATGCAGCTAACAAAAGATAAGGCTTTGGAATGGACACTGTAATTCTATTTGATACTGAAAGAAGCCATATCATTTGCAAAATAAACTTTGAGCAATAACAATAAAGAGCCCTAAGATTTTAAAACGAAATGTATTGACCACACACACCAGCATCACAGTTCAGTCCAAGTGCTACCTGCTCAGCGCTTCCCCCTTCCAATCAGTTTGGAGGTAAAGATGTCCTAAGTGCATGTACATAGCTCTGAAGGGTAAGTTTCTCAGTGCTCTGCTCACTAGTGATTTGTAGCATCTGTTTTGTGTTTCAGAAGCTCCAAAACCTTCTGGCAAATTCTGCACACCGCTACTTTTTTGCTCATGTTCCCTTCCCTGTTCCATGGGCTCCTGACTTGAGACAGGAAAAGACATCCTTTGCTTTTCCTCCCTGAGGTCAGCTTTCCAAGAAAGGTAGAAAGAGCCCCTAGACCACAAACCAAAAGATACATTACTTGATCTTAACTACCGGGGCGGGAAAAAAAAAAAGATAACCAAGAAACAACTAATATTACAGATACAAATTATGTAGCTTTTAAACTTTTTAAGAGTTGCTCTAAGATTTTTCTTGTGATTTTCCAGCAGCTCCTAGGACAGCAGGTGTTCAGGAACACTTCAAAGATGAGTTTTTGCAGGAGTGAGAAGGGAAAAGAAGGTTCAGTTTTGCCAAGGATAAGTGAAGCGTATAGCTATAAACTTAGTACAGGCAGTAGTGATTTGGCAAAAAAAAATACGGTAAGAGACAATTGCTTCAGGTTGCCTAGGCTGCTGGTTTCTTCAGGAATTACTTCTGTCAGAGCTGGCTGCCAAGTGGTTTGGCAATGTGTCTCCCACAGCAGGAAAAACACAACAGAAATGCACATTAACTGCCTGAAGCTGTTCCTGGTGTGTCAAACAGAAGTAATCCCTGAGATACCACCAACCTCTTGGTGGTGCGTTCAGCCATTGCTTTCAAATTAATGGGTGCAGCCAAGCAAAGGAAGATGCAGGATGAGGAATTTCAAGCTCTGGAGTAAAGAAAAGCTTGTAACAGTTTCCCCAGATCTCCAGTTCCTTTCCTTTTTTTTCAGCAGTTTCACAATCTCCAGACTTATCTTGGCTGGGTTTGGCAAACTCCTGAAAAATTTTAAGTCTTAAGGGTTAAATCTTAGAAGTGTACCCTCAAAAGCTGTAATAAGCACTTGAAGGATTATTTTAACTTATGGTTCTGACACTCTGATGTAGGCAACAGCCTGAAACAAAGACAAGCAAAGCATGGATCACCAAAATATTGAGAGCAATCAGAAAAATGTTATTTTAAACATGTCTTCTTTAAATGCCTAATGGAGCTGTCATGTACAAATATATACAGTTTAAGGTGCTGCAGTACTGTACAGCTTCCAGTGTGTTAGGAACTAAAAATTGTCCTTTCATTTGTTACTGGGAAAGCACTTCAGTAAACAGATTCTAACCATTCCGTTAATTTGCTTAGAGAAGTAAATTACATTTATTTGCCTCCTCTCTATGAGGGATAAAAACAGTTATGGCAGAACTTAAGCACAACCAAAACCACACCAACTGCAGTTTCCTCAGATCCCATCAGCAGCTTAGGGCCACCATACTGAAAAAATAAACAAATCCTGAAGTTTCAAAGTTTTGGCCCAAATTTCTGACTCAGAGGCTTAGAAGTCACTTCTCAGACCCTAGAAGATCTTTAAGTTCCTTCAGAGAGGTACTTCATCAGAGCCTCTCATAGGATTTTGCCCTTTGAAGTACTTTCTGGAAGATCTAGCTTTAACAGCCTTCATTACACCAATCCTGGTGCAAGAGCATAACAAATCTTCATTATACATTAGTTCTGCCATCTTAAGAAGGCTTCCCATGACCAAAACAGACTATCCAAAAAAAATTATACCATATAAAGTTAAATAGCATAGTTATTCAATGAGAAAAATGTAAGAAGGACACTTGGGAACATCCTTTTACAGCAGGAAAGCTGAACAGTTCTGTGTCAGTCTTCAGAGATGAAGATGCTTGGGAAACTCATGTTCAGTATCAATGACACTAGATTTTAAATAATTATACGCTCTCATTTAACTAGTCTACAGTACTGGACAGCAAGAGCCCTGAAGAAATTGAGGTGTGAAATTGCAGGACCGCTGGCCAAGGCACTCCACATAAGGCACTCTGTCAGAGGACTGGTAGCCTGGAGATGCAAATCCAAGCTAACATAGGGCTCTAGGGGCGAACCGATAACTACAGACTAGCAAACCTGACTTCCACTTGGGCAAGAAGAAGGTCCATAAAAAAAGAGTAAGACCACTAAGCCAAGATATAGACACAGCATCATGGCCCTCATTGCCCACTTCCCTGGTGCCCTGGATGCTCCAGACCAAGCCTATACAGCTGGTGGCCCTCAGGAGAGCTCTCCAGGCTCTGAGGGGGCTGCTTCTCTGTTCCTTCTTCCCATGGGAGCTGCCATTAAGCTGAGGCTCTTACCCTGCACCAGGCCAATCCGTGTTGATCCAGGCCCTCACTTGCAGATTTACCTCCTGATTTGAGCTTGGACTTGCCTGGTGGGGATCACCAGGCTGTGACTGACTGGTTACTGTCTCCAGACCAACTCCTGACTTGCTCACTTAACTTCTCAGCTTGCCCTTAGGCCTGCATCACCACTGTGGACTTGCCTGGTAGTCACAGGGATGTGTTTGGTCCTGCCTACTGCTCCAGCCAGGCCTGCCCTGCTCACCTCAATACAAGGGACAGGTCCCTCGCTGGTGAGGTCACCTCTTCAGCTACTTTCTTACCACACTCTGCCCTCAGGAAACTCCTGGTGCTCACTGCTTCCAGACACAAACTTCTGTAAAACAGCCAGCATCACTGCAGGGGGAAAATACTGCCTCGCTAACCTGCAGGAAGGAGTCTGTGAAGTGTCAATAGGCAGATGGATAAAGGAACCCTGCATACATTGCCAAAGGCTTTTTGAAAATCTAACTATATCCCACACACAGGAGGTGGGACTAAAAATCCTGAACTGACACAGGATTGGGGAAAGTATTCTGTTCCAGATCCAAAATGACTTAAAAGAATAAGGAGCAGAGCACAGGGCTAGATGGTCCCTTTCCAGTACAAAAAGTCAGTGCTGAGACTTTTTATTCAGTCTTCATCTATGACCCGGAAAAGAACAAAGTCTGAGTTTGATGACCCTAAGCTACTCAAGTGATCATATTCTATGAGGGCAGGGAGTGCTAGAAGGCTCACAGGAAACCAATTGAGGAGACAGAAACAGTGCAGACGAACTTCAATGTACATAACCTACTGCAAAAATATACACAACCAAGCCTACATGACAAAGTCAGAACTGCCAGTTCTGAACGCAAGAAAAAATGTTTTAGAGTCAGTGACAGTTCAATAAAATCAGCATCAACATGAAGCAACAGCCAAAGACATCAACAAAGCATCAGCCATCAAAAGGAAGGATTCTGAGACCAAGACAGACGGCAACGTTTTGCCACTGTGTAAAACCTCACCTTACCCACATCTTGAGCATGCAGCTCCAGATTACGCACCTCAAGAACAGCACTGTGAAAAGGCAACTAAAATGATCAATGGGACAGAGTAACCCAAGGATAATCTAAAATGGAATAGGACTTTAAAGACTAAATTACTAGGACTGTTTGAACTTGGAAAGGTGAAAGCTGGGGGCTGATGCAAATGCTTATGATGTTTTGAGTGTTTTGCATAAACTGAACATGTAATTGTTGTTCACCAAATCCCACAATGCTAGAGGGCCCTCCAGAAAACTACCAGGAAACAAAGCTCTAGAAGCTTTCCTTCTATGAAGCTAGTAAAGGGATCTATCCTCAAACAGCAGGTAATGACTGCTACTGCTGGGACTGCAGAAACAAGTCCAGAAAAGGTTTAGATACATATGGGGATAACAAGACCATAAAGGAATACTGAAAGCATGATGCCAGGGTGCACCAACACCCCTGGCACAGCCAGCAGGGATGCTGGGCAGCCTGAGAGAAACCAGGCACAGACAGCACCAGGCTGGTGTGTGCTCCCCTACCAGCACCTCTGGAGATCCAGATGGACCTGGGAGAGCATGAGTATAGTTACCTGCCATTTTCCAAATAGAAACTTATTCAGTGTTAGGTCATACTACGCTCACAGAGAAGTAGTTGAACTCACTAGAACTTTATGCACAGACCAGCTTACAAGCTCTGGCCACAGGACCCAAGTTCCCCTCACACCAAAAGCACGGAGGGATGCTCCGTCCACAGGCACCACACCGAGCATCTCCCACCTCATTGCCGGGATCACGAGCAATCTCCTCCAAAACCCACCCTGGCTCAAGCAGAAGCCCCTCTTTGAAGCAAATGCAGCCTGAAAGACTACAAGTACCTCAGAAATAGACTCTCAGGCAAGTCCGGACCAACACAGGTCCCTCACCTCCCGGAGCAGCCACCCAGCCTCGCCGGCGGATCCCCCACCTCCATGCCGGGCGCCGCTGCTCCCCTACCTGAGCCACCACAT